GGTAGGCAGTGACAAGTCTTTCAGAACACTCTGTATACACATATGATCTTTGTGTGCATTCATTCTTTCACACAAAATCTGTATGACATTTGATCTATCTATCTATCTATCTATCTATATATATATATATATGCTGATTTAATTGGTGTATATCTTTCACCCATTTTTTTTCTAAATAAATATAAATATGTTTAGCATCTTTGGCATGGGATGCTGAAGATATATTCAAGATCTGATTGTCTCCTCACAAACTCCATTTTTAACAGTTTGGGCTTATATGAACGGGAATGTTTGAAATACAGTATTTTTACCTGACGGGCTTCAGCTTGCAGCCTGCAGATAAATACAAAGAAGACAACAACATCTATACTGCTTCACATTCACATTGTTTTCTCATTTTAAATTTTATTTGCATATCTATTATTACTATTCCTTGCATGTCCACATGATTTTTCATATTTTCATTCTATTCTCTTGCTTATATGAAGGCTTTGTTATCCATGCAGGTTGTTCTTACAGGTTTGATTTTAAATTGAAAAGTTTAATATTCTGTACACAAAATTTACCTTACCTAATTTCAAAAGAGAGAAAAAAATAAATTCATGAAATTACAGAATAAGGAATTTGCTAACATCATGGGATACAAAGTGATTCAGCCTTTCACATTCAGTGGAAAAATTTTAATTTGTATTATTTTTAATGTTCATTGCTTCGAGCATGATGGAACTACACACTTGATTATTGCAGTGTGATGTCTGCCACTACAAAAATATAAGAATTGTTCATTGTGAAAGATAAATTTATGAAGCAGTCAAAGTATTTTGATTGGACACAATTCTAATCCATTAAAATATGCATTTTAAGTATAGGTGATATAAAATATTATATTATAATATTATATTATTTAAAGGATATATATATGAAAGTTTATTGAATGTGCACAGATCAGTAAAATGATAAGTGATGCAATGAGAATTTACCTATTATATTTTTCACAATGTTTCATCAAAATTTAAGAAATGTTATATTTTTACTAGCTCTGATGTGATTGTCACCTTTTTGGGATGCAAAGCTGTCTTTAAAAGACAAGACATTTCTGCTTAGTCAAGGAACTGGAGTCACATACATAAAATTATCTATATATATATATATATATATATATGTGTGTGAAGAAATAGAGTCTTAAGATGTGCTATATTTATGGGATAAAGTGCTCAATATCAGAGATAGAGCGTGTGTAAATATAAAAGTGAACATAGAAGTCAACACTCAAACAGGTGGCCTGACGATGGCATCTAGCATGAAACAGACTGTCACCTCTAAGTGTTGACTTCTATGTTCACTTTTATATTTATATATATATATATATATATATAATTATTATTATTATTATTATTATTTGTACATTCCTTTTCTTAAGTACGTAAGAGTGCTCTATTTTAAATTATTCTAAAATAACCTTTCTTAAAAAATCACTTAGCGTGAAAGTTCTGTACATGGGTAAATAAAACAAAAATGCTATTTTACATACATACATATATACAAAAACCTACAATATCAATATCATTTCATCCACAATGCAAGAAGAAAGGCATACAAAATATACAACCGAAACAAAACTAATAGCATAATCCGCAATAGTAAATTACATGAAAACAGATACATAATACTACCAACCAACTCTGTCACGTCCACTATGCAGAATAACCTATCCCATCTAAATAATCTTAGAAGTTACAAACACTTCCAAAACCATTATGGATATACTAAGATCTTCAAACACTAATAGCAATAATTCATACACACACACACATACACACACACATATATATATAATATATATATATATATATGTATATCTATGCATATATATATATATATATATATATATATATATAAATCAATAAAAATTTTGTGTAAAAGATTTTTGCATTTTATCCATTAAGACTTCATTTGACTAAAGTGATATTTATATTGATAAACACAGAAAAGTGATCTTGTATTTACATATGCTCTATCCCTGATATGAAGCACTTTTGTAAATATAGCATACCATAAAACTATTTTTCTATAATATATACAATAATGGCATCAAAATTTTTTATTTCATAAGAGCTCTAAAACACCAGCTCTCAATCTCCAAGACCTTCAAACAAATTTTGTGATTTGTTTGTAGGTCTTGAAGATTGGGAGTTGCTTTTTTTAGAGCTCTCATGAAATAAAAAATATTACCTATGGCATTTTAAGTGTTTGATATTCTTTAATTAATAATACTTTTGCTCTGTTTTTTGACATAGAGCTCTCCCTGGATCTATATCCTCCTGTAAAATCCATACAGCCATACTGATTACCATATTGTATCATTATATATATATATATATATATATATATGTATATATTATTTATATATTCCTTATATAAATATGCAGGAGTGCTCAGTTTCAAATACTTTTAAAAGAGCTTTTTAATATACAAAAATAACATTGATTATTTACCTGCTAACAGACTGTTTTATGCATTTCAGTATTATATATATATATATATATATATATATATATATATATATATATATAAAATAATTAATGGATTTTATTTATAAACCTGAAATATTTTTACTACTTTAAATCTGGAATTAAATGAGTAAAATAGGCTTTAAAAGCAGATAAAATTTTGCTTGATTATGAAGCTCTTTGTGGCTGAGTGGTCAAAAAAAAATTGGATCAAATGATGGTTTCTTCTGCAAAGGATGATGAATGTTTAAATCCTGCTGGAGGGTAAATTTTTCTTTAATAAGATTTCTTGAATGTTCATGCCAGTAGACAGAATAAAATGCTGTTTTAAAATAAATGGGGTGTTTAATAAAATATGGATATACACTAGAAATAAGCTTTATATATATATATATATATATATATATATATATATATATATATATATATATATATATATGTATATGTATATGTGTAGATAGATAGATAGATAGATAGATAGATAGATAGATAGATAGATAGCGATGGGTAAATTGTTGCCATTTCATATTTTTAATTTTGGATATGTGTATTGTTTGTTTCTGATTTTGTTAACTGCATAGTATAGTAGGGTCAGTTGGGCACTGTCTGTGAGAAGAAGATGCAATTCACTCCAACATACATTTGGAAATAGCATGCTGTACTACTTGGTATTCATACCGGTAGTTCCAATAGAAACATTTCAGAGTGTATCAATCTAAGGACCATGCAGAGGATTCGGAAAGAGTTGGATGCGTCTGATGGTGATTACAACAGTGTTTGGTGTGATCACTACTGATGGTGATGTTATGCCTCCATTCATATTCCCAGGGGAACTATTCTTGAAAAAAAGGGTATTTTTTTGTTGTTAACTGGGAACTATTCTTGAATGAAGGGTGGAGTATTTTGTTGCTAGCAGGGTACTATTTTTGGAAGAAGTGTGGGGTATCTTCTTTTTCAAGTGGTATTCCTGACTACTGTCAATAGCCTGCAAAACAGTTGTTATGACAATGACTCACCACAGGAAAAAATACAAAAAGTTGATATTAGTGGACTGCAACATGCCTTTCTGTACAGATTATCTGTACCTGAGTTAATCTGAAGAATGGAATGGTTGATAACCAAAATGACAAAAAGAGATTGGGATCAATAATTTGGTCATATATTTGGAATATTTACAGATACTGAGGAAAATAATAATAAAAAATCAAAACTAAAAAAAGGAACAACAAATTTACTGATTTAGGCAAATGTTTTGATTGATTGATTTGTTTTTTACAGCTCATCAACTTATCTGTGAGTCATTTAAAGCTGTAATATACTTTGGATTGCAAGAATGTTCTTTTTATTCAAGTGAATATTGCATTAATATTTTTTTTGTTGCTTTCAGAGTAACAACAATTTTCCAACTATAAATCTTACCTTTTAACTCACAGCTGGAGGTAAGAGATGGATTCATACTGTTACCAAGGGTATTTGCATGTAAATGCATGTAATTTTCTCAAACTGGAATTCGAACTCGGTACTCTGCTTTCTCATTTTGAGTTGCTATCCATTGCACCAACTGCACATCCACTGTGCAAATAGAAGTTTTTAAAATACCTGTTATACCAACATTATACAGAGAGAAAGAGTGAGAGGGATAGATATAGAGAGGAATAGAAAGAGAAACAAACAGACATGTCCTTCTCATTCCTTTATGGATTATAAGGCTACAAGCTGTAGATTCCCAGTGAAGTATAGAAATAAAGTGTCACCATACTAGAAGCAAGTAGGTTTTGATGTGGTGGAATTTATTGTCCCATGACCAGATTGGCATTCAGAATTATCCTTCTTCTAGACTGGTTGCCAACCAAGACTAGAGATCCCAGTCTAACCTGGTATTTAACCCATGGCTGACAGGGTGTAAGAAATAGATTTATATCTTTCCCAATGATATTTGTGCAAGAGTGACCTTGGATGGAATTTTTCTTTTTTTTAAATTATTTTTTGTTCTATGGCTTATCGAATTTTTGTAAGTTATTTAAAGTCAGAAAATATTGTCAGAATGTAAGAACTCTTTTGGAGATAATAATGATTTTACTGATACAAGTTCTATAACTAGGAGGAGAAGTTATAGGATTTGTATCAGTAAAATACTGGGATCTCTAGTCTTGGTTGGCAACCAGTCTAGAAAGAGGTGGATTAATACCCATCCCAACAGTATTTGCACATAAGTGAACATAATGAACCCAACTGGAATTAGAACTCATCTTCTCTGATTTCTGATTATGAGCCATTATCTATTCATCATCACCATCATCATCATACTTCAACCTCTCTATGTTTGGTCAGAAGTCTATTGATAATCCCTTTCTACAACGTTCAGTCCTGTATTGCTTTCCCCAGATCCCCAATGTCCAACTCTGAGTCCTGAGCTATAGTGTCTGTCAATTTTCATAAGAAGATACTTCCAGATGGATGCCATTATCTAAAACACTGCCCTCACATCCAAGCACCTGGTATTCCCAAGCAGTCACCCATCGAGGTACTGACCAGGCTCAGTGTTGCTTAACTTTGGCAAATGTATGAGAACTAGTGTTTCAACAAGCAGCAGAATTTGAATTTGGCATGCTCTCCACACCAGTACCACTATACTATACATGCATCATCAATTATATATAAGAATTGGAACAGTTTATATTCATTGTTATAAACAACTTTAAATTATAAAAAATACCTGGAAGTTTTATAAGAGCATAATTTTTAATTCATCTTAAATAAATGAGTTGGGTCTGACTGATTTTGATAATAGTAACCATTTGATAGCATTTATATCCATGATTATAATAATTAGCTTTTTCTGAACTTATCACAGGTGCAGGAAGAAATGATTTAAAAGCAATTCAGCTCATATTCCAATATCAGATCAATGCTAAAAAATTGTTTTCTTTGAAATTGCATATCTTATAGCGAATCCTTTATATAAAACCAGAACAATAGAAAGAGTAACATCTTCTATGTGCCATGTCCCATCGGGAATTTGGTTATCGTGGCTCTCCACAATTTCTTGTCCTTTGTAGCGCTTAATAAATTTTATTTTTTTGTTATCTCTCCTAAACCCTATTCTGCCATCCATTTACTCAAGATGGCTAGGTGTGTTATGTATTGTCTTTCTCTGTCTCTGTAGCTAACAATCTGTCCTGTCAGTATCAATTTTTTTTTCTTCATTATGTGGGTACTTTGCTGTGGTTAGCAAGCTTGTCTTGGTAGATCAATTATGACTGAGTAGTGAGTTTGATCTTCACTGAGTGCCCCATACTTCTGACCTTGTTTCACATCTAAGATACACTTAGAAAACCACCTTTCTTTATAATGTGTCCTAAAAATTTCTACTATCTCTTCTTGATGTTAAGTATATGTGTCTTTTTCATTGCCATTTTCTCTAAAATTTTGCATAAATACTTAGGGATGAAATTAAGAGAAAAATATTGCTAATAATGATTAAAAAAATACCAATAGTAGAACTGTATAAAAAAATACAGAAATTTAATGCACTGATAAAACATTGACAGAATGCTACATTCATTGAGCTCACAGAAGAAACAAATTCAACTGCAATTGCTTTCAAGGTCATCAAAATAAACATCAAATAATAATTGTGATTGTCCTATACTTTGCTAACTCTTTAGTGTGCGCGACCGTTACGCCTTGTCAATACCGCATAAATAATGGACTATTCCATTCTGATCGCAAGGAACTTCAAAAGACATTTCAGAGATGCTATGTGGATCCAGGGCAAAAAAAATGAAAGAAAGAAGTGTTTAACATCTCTTGCTAATACCTCATAAATAATGGACTATTCTGTTTTGATCATGTGAGAAGACAAAATGCTACTTAGTTTCAGTCAGAAAATGAAAGAAAGAACAGATGATAGAAGTGTTTAATGTCTGTTTCAGTGAAATGGAAAAAAGTTGTCAATTTCAAATCTTTTCATTTGTACCCACTTCTTAAAATGTTAATCAGTATTCTTATTTATGTTTGTTATTGCAATATTTTGTTAAACTTGTTAAGCTCAAATATTTAATGATGCAATAGGGAAATTTCTACAGACATTTTATTGTCATAGAACTCACTATGAGCTTATTCAATCATTAACAGAAGAATTAAAATTTATCAGAAATTTCAAATAGGAAAACTGGAATTTTCAGTGGTTAAAACTAGTTTTTATACTTGGTTGTTTCAAAGAAAAAAAAAGAATAAATATGAAAGACTATAACTTTGAAAAGAATCATTAAAATATCCACCATTGTTTGGATAGTTGAATCTATTCTTTGCATAGTAGCCATTGTTAAAACAATGCTTTCTTTGTTCTCAAGGATTACACCTGACAAGGGATGAAGAATGGATTAGATTTCAACATATGAGGGCCCAACAGTGCGATTTAGAACTGAACTGCTAGACTAATAAGGCATATGTTTTAATTATAATGATGAAGGCTTGTGTAGAATTAGCCTTATTTTATAGATAAAAAAACTGATAGCAGTGAAACGGTGCAGTGTGTAACACTAAGTCTCCAAACAGCTCTTAGTGAGATGATTTCACTTTACGCATAACAATTATACTATCTATCTATCTATCTATCTATCTATCTATCTATCTATCTAACACTGTTCATATCTATTTGTCTATCTCATTGTGTTCATATTCCTCTATATATCTGAGTGTTTATTTTTTTAACGCTGTTCATCTCTATCTAAAACTGTTCATATCTATCTATCTATCTATATATATGTGTGTATATATATATATATATATATATATATATATTTATATTTATTTCTTAGAAAAGGGTAATTTAGCCAGGCTTTGCTATAGATATCTCTGTGATCAAAGGTAGAGTTCACCTGGCTATAAAGTGGTTTTCCAGAATAAGGGAATGCTGGTTTTATTTCTACTGAAAGGTACATTTTTTTTAATAAGGCCTACTATAGCCAGGCTGGTAGACACTAATTTGAATGTTTGAAAAAATTTGGGAATGCCTACTGAAACACATGTATCCATTAAACTAACATATATGTATATATATATATATATATTACTTGCATTATTCAGTTATCCTCATTTCACATTTTGACTTCTGTATGTTCCTGCCATCTTCAGGTGATTGGAATTTCGAACTGAACCTTTTATTTCATTCCACATGTCATGCACCTTCCAGATGTATCAGTTATTTCTCTTTAATTCAACTCTCCATGTACTGGTATTGAACTCACAACACTTCGGGTCTAGTCACTGCATCTAACCAACATCTTTATTCACTGGGCCATGTGTACTTGAGGACATCTGTCTATGTTTTTTGGGACTTTCATTTTTTTACCAGTGCTCATATTGCAATTTTTCTGTTATTATTATTGCATTTTTTACCAGATCTTATATTGCAATTTTTTTTGTTATTCATTGCTTTTCTCTAGCAATCCTTATTACTAGTCCCCTTATTGTATTCATTTCCATGACTGGTCAGCTCAGAAGATTTTTGTGGCCTAGCATAGTTTTTGTATTTTCCAGTGATGCTCTATATCTATTATTTCAACCTCATCCCACAGGGAGCAGTGATGTCTCTTTTCCCTCCCTTTGTGATCAGCTACACCAGATTTTTCTATTTCCCCTTGTGTTACTGTTTTATGATGTTCTTCTAGCCTTACCTTAAGAGGGAAGCCTGTTTCTTCTTTGTATTTCTTACCACAATTGCATGGGATGGCATACACACAGTCCTTAGTCATGTTCTCCTTTATGGAGAAAATAACTGAGATTTCCGGAAGAGGCATGGCATATGAAACTAGAATAATCTACCTCAGTAGATGAAATAAAGGGTAAGGTTCAAAACTCTAATTACCTGAAGAAGGCCAGAGTATACAGCAGCTGAAATGTGAATATGTCAATGAAGATGAGGATAACAGTCTAAATAATATAAATAATGCAAGTAATCATAATACTTCATCTCAGCAGTATGGCTATATATATATATATATATATATATATATATATATATATATATATAAATGGACATTGAAGTCAACACCTTCTGGTGACAGTCTGTTTCATGCTTAAATGCAATCTTTAGGCTTGATGATTGTGTTTAAGCATGGAGCAGATTGTCACCACTGGGTGTTGAATTCAATGTCCACTTTTATATTTACATAAGCTCTATTCCTGATATTGAGTACTTTAACTCACAAATATAGCATATCTTCAAAAGTATATTTTTATCATATATATATATATATATATATATATATATATATATATATTCATGTATTGTTAAAAACAATCTTTTTAATTTAATGATTCCTCTTTTTACGAAGTAAAAATATACTTTTGCAAATGTAGGCCAAAGGACAATTGTTTCCCAAATATAATGTAATATATGGATACATGGCCAAATGGTTAGAAAATTAGTTTTCTGACCATGAGACCCAGGTTCAAATCTCATCATGGTCGATTTGTCAGGAAGATGACTTGATGTTATCAGTCTGGAGGATGCGATCCTAGCATGCAGTATCTTTGGAAAGTACCTGAAAACCATACCACAGGTTGACACAATTCTTGTGAGTAAAATTACGTCGACAAAACTCATTGGCAGCTGTTGATAGTTGTGCTAGCACAAAGTCACTAGTCATTGTGACCGAGGACTTAAGCATGCTGGCCTTGTTCAGATTGTTTATTACAGTAGATAACATGTTCTCTCCCAGAAACTGTAACTACAGTCCACTCAGCATATTTGCAGTATAAACTACATGTGGGCTCTGTGGGTGCTGAACAATCACAAATGTGCCTGAGCAAGCATCTGCAACCAGGATTGGCATGCCTCCTCAGTAGACAGGCATTGTAGCCAATTATATATATATATATAATGTTTTATGGATAAGTACTCATCCCAGCCATGAAGAGATTCCCCTTCCAGACAACTTTTTGTGTCTCTGTGTAACAGATTTTTATGCTATTAGAAGTGTTCAGTGCATTGAAGTGTGCAAGCTCTCTGTAATGCATTCTTGTGAGTTAAAAAACATAAATTTTTAAAGTCAGATATGTTTAAACAGTAACATGCATTATAATTGCTTTCATTTATACCATTGGGAAAAGGCTTGAAAATCAATTTTTATCTTTATGTAATTTATACAATTTTATTTTTAATTTAGTTTCAGGAAATATTGAATATAAACTGAAGCATGCAGAGCAAAATAAAATTTTTCATATTTTATAAGCGCAATGCAATTGTTAAATTATTCAGATATTGCTGTCATTTTATGATACAGGTAAACTAGCATTGGTTATATTGTGGCAATCTCATTCTTGCTAGACAGTGTTTTTATAATACAAGCAGTATGGGGAACCTATTTAAAAATGTCAATATGGATGACCTACTATCCTTAATAAAAAAAGAGTGGGTCTGTTCTCTAAAATATAGTGTAATTAGGCAGCAATTGTATAAGCATTCTATGTCTATTAAATTTAACCATCATCTTTTCTAAAGTGTGAAAAATCTTTCACAAGCCTGGCTGCTGCAGATGCAAATAATATCTCAAATTAAGGAGCTTTCAACTCAC